TCAGGCACAATTTGCCCTCAATGAAGCCGTGTTGACCGTCACCGATCACCTCCTTATTTCCCATGTGCCTTAGCAGAGCTTCCAGGAGGACCATCCAATGGTCATTGTTGGAGGCTGTTGACCAGCACTGTGCCTCAGGGGCTAATACTGGGTCCAGTCCTCTTAACATCTTCGTTAATGCTCTGGATGGTGGGGCGGAACGTACCCTTAGCAAGTTTGCAGGTGACACCAAACTGGGAGGAGCGGCTGATATGCCAGAGGGTGGTGGCTGCCTTCCAGAGGGACCTCAACAGGTTGGAAAATGGGACTGGAACATCATGGAGGCCAACAAGGGGAAGTACAAAGTCCTGCACCTGCACCCCAGTAGCCGATTTGGCCTAAACCACGACAGGGAGGAACAGCCCCGTGCACCAATACATGCTGAGGGCCACCGAACTGGAAAGCAGGACCTGGGGGTCCTGGACGTGAGCCAGCAATGTGTCCTTCTGCAAAGAAGGCAAAGGGTGTTCTGGGCTGCACTAGGAGGAGTGTTGCCTGCAGGTCAAGGGAGGTGACCCTTCCCTCCCCCCTACTTGGCACTGGTGAGGACAGACCTGCAGTGCTGGGTCCAGTTCTGGGCTTCCCAGTAAAAGACATAGTCCAACTGGAGAGACTCCAGCAAAGGACCACTAAGATGATTAGGGCACCAGAACATCTCTCTCTGCTATCAGGAAAGCCTGAGAGAGGTGGGACGGCTCAGCTGGGAGAAGAGGAGGATTATAGGGGAAATCTCATAAACACCTGAAGGGGGAGGGTGCAAAGAGGACAGAGCCAGGCTCTTCCAGGGACATGGTTTAGAAGTGGGCCTGGTAGAGTTAGTTAATGGTTAGACTTGATGATCTTAAAGGCCTTTTCCAGCCATAACAGTTATGTGATTCTCAGTGGAGCCCAGTGACAGAACCGGAGGCGATGGGCAAAAATGAAACACCAGAGGTTCCCTCTGAACATCAGGAAACACTTGTTTGCTGTGGGAGTGACCAAGCACTGGCGCAAGTTGCCCAGCATGGAGTCTCCATCTTTGGAGATATTCAGAAGCCATAGGGACGTGGTCCTGGGCAACTAGCTTTAGGTGGCCCTGCGTGAGCAGCAGGGGTTAGATAAGATGACATCCAGAGGTCCCTTCCAACCTCAGCCTGTCTGTGATTCTGCGATAAGCCATCTCTGTTACAGGACTGCCTTCATCCCGAGACCAATCATCCAGGAATACTCTGGAACTGGGTCTGCTCCACCCTACTGAACAGCTTCTAGAATAATCAAAACCTGCCCACCTGGAGGTGCTACCTGGCAGGAATTGCTCGAGGGTGTGACAGCTTCCAGAAAGTGTCGATGGGCTATCTCCATCACCCGGAATTTTTGTGTAACCACGCACGGCAGTAGCTTTTATTTTGCAAGAAGCTATGGCTTGATGTTAGGAAAGTGGGATCCTGAGGTGCTGAGACCGACATAGATAGTGCTGAGAGGTGGTGGCATGTGTGCGCCACCTCTGCGTGGGGAAAGATGAAGTTTTTCTGAGCAGTAGTTACAGAAGGCATCGGCCAGGAGGTGACGACCAGCAGTTTCTAAGGACATCTTCCCTGGCCTGATAATGCTTCTTGGAGCCCACAGGCGGGAGCTGAAGGATTTTTAGCCTGCCTGTTGTTGTGGTCATTGCAGAGCTGCCCCTCTCACCTTTAACACACTGCCAGCAGTTTGTCCGGTAGCCACAATTCAGGAAAACAAATTCCCATCCTGCCAGCCTTGACAGTGGGTGACTGGGGCAAGTATTTGGATTACTATCCTTACCCAGCTGCGTAGGTTAGAGAAGAAGTTCCAGAGAACTGCTGATAGGATCACTGTGGTATGGGGGACACCACAACCTGACACTTTGGCATAGGTGTTTAGCAACAGATTGATGTAAAGTCCCTTATGTGGAGCTTGTTGCACCTAAGGGACAGGGCTTACCCACTGATGGTGGTGATAATACTCATCTTCAATGGGAGCTCTGAGTTGGCCTCGAGGCAGATGTTGTTTAAGAGGCACTTCTTGGAGAGAGGTTGGAGCCCCTGTCTCCCCTTCCCATGGGAGTTATGGGGCAGTCGTGGAGGAGAACAGGTGTTCAGTCTGGGGCTTCCTCATGAAAAAAAAAAAAAAAAAAAAAAAAAAAAAAAAATAATT